GTGGGTGCCCCCGCCCTCTGGAACGAACTACCCCCCCAGATCCGGGTGATCCCGGATCTCCTTACTTTCCGCCGCGCCCTCAAGACATGGCTTTTCCAGCAAGCGGGCCTGGCCTAGGGAGGATTTTAAATCGGGTTCATTTTTAGAAAATTTTAAATATCACAACTTTAAAATATTTGGGTTTTAATTGGTTTTATTCAGCGGGGATTGTGGGCATGTTTCTGTTTTAAAATGTTGTGAGCCGCCCTGAGTCCCTCGGGAGAAGGGCGGGATACAAATCGAATAAATGAAATGAAATGAATGAAATGACTCCAAGCTAACCTCTCCAATGGACTGAGAATGGTAAGGCCCATCTTGCCAGCAGCAGACCCTTTGTGTCTGTAGATGGGTTTCCCAGGCCCTGCCCATGTGGAGCCAAGGTAGTAAAGGGAATTTTGGGTTTGAGCTCAAGGGCTGCTTTGGAAAGAAGGTGAAGATGAGTACCTCTAAATTTTAACTTTAAAACCCAGGGGAGTGAGATAAGTGTGTGTATTTCTGTGTGTGTGAGTGAGAAGACCCTTTTTTCCCCCCAGTCACAGTTGGATTCTGCTCCTTCTGGTCTTTCCTAGCCGCAGAAAGGATCTGTTCAAGTAGCAGACCCTGGAAAGCATGGGGGTTTGGCCAGAGTGTAGGACCTTTTGTTAGGGAAAAGGGAGAGGCTGTGTGAAAATGGAATGGAATGAGTGAACGAGAGAATTGGATTTGGGCAACCAGCTGGTAAGGCCCTGTAAGCAAAGCCCATCTGTAGGAGGGGCCCGTACTAGTGCACAAAGCACAGGTCCTCCCAGACATCTCCTAAGTCTGAAAACTGCAGGCGGGGTGTAAACGGAGGCCGGGTACCTGTGTGGCAGGTCCTCCTTGGACAATTTATTTTTGAGGTCCGCAAAGTGACAGCAGGGAGTTCCCTAAACTGGAAGGGCCCTTACTCCGTGTAGGGAACCGGAGTCTTCCTGGGCAATTTTTTAGTGCCCAAAAACTGACAGGCGGGGTGGCAGGGTTGTTGTCGCTAAGAGTGGCTGGGAAGTGCTGCTAGGAGAAACCCGACTGAGCCAGATTGGACCCCACATCGGAAGGGGAACATGGGTAGCTGTAGTTCGAGGGTTGAAATTAGGACACTTATTGGAGATTTGCTCGAGGTGTGGGGTGAGCAAGACAAATTTGTGAAGAATGGGCTTTGCTAGGGCTTTGCTGGGAAACCAATTTGGCTAAATAAAGGTACTTAAAGGGAAAATAGAAATAGTGACTCTCTCTCTCTCTCTCTTTCTTTCTCTCTCTCTATGCAACCACGTGGTATGTTTAAAATGACTTGGGGGCAGGGTTGGTTTCTGCTTTTTAAAATCCTTTTGAGGAAATATATTTTTCTGCCCTTTTTAATATTTCCTTCTGTGGGGCTGACTTCCCACATAAGACTGGAGAATACAACTAAGTACATATTGTAGAAAGAAAAGTCTTCATCCTGGTTCATCCAAGCTGGGAATAAATAAGCAACATGGCAACTGCTTTGGGAAGAAGGTTACAGTTTATTGAAGAGGCAGAAAGATGGTTCTTGCAGGAAAGACCAGTGGAAAGAAAGACCTGAGCACATGGGCAGTAGGTTTTTATACCCTCTCTAGCCTTTTGTTTGGAAGTTTCCTGTTCCTGTGGCATGAACTTTGAGGCTATTTCCTGTGTCATGTATTCTGACCTGAGTTTAGGTGTGCCTCTCTGGCCTTTGTGAGTTAATCCTATCATGTCCTGTCAGGTGGGGCATGCAGATTTTAGGTCTCTTTGTCTTCTTGGATCTCTTAGCTGGGGCCTTTCTGATGGTTTACATTTGCATAGAGCTGGCTCCTGTTTGGGATAGAGAGATTTGAGGGCAGACTTGGCTTCTGCTTTTAAAAATCCTTTTGAGGAAAAATATATTTTTCTGCCCTTTTAATATTTCCTTCTCTGGGGCTCTGACTTCCCACAATATAATGCCCCATTTTTTTCCTTTTTCCAAGACCAAATCCAGTTCTTCTTAGGGTTGAACAAAGGTCTATACATAGTTTTTATGTTTTTCAGTTTAAAATGGTGGAATATAATCCTGTCAATCATGATCAGAGAGGTTTTCCAGAACAATAACTGTGGCTCTGTGGCTAGAAGCTGCTTACTCACCTATGTGACATAAATGAATGCAGAAGTTTTAGCCCCAACTGATTTTAATATTGCACTTTAGTTTGGAAACTAAAAAAAAGCTCAACCTCCCCCTTCTATCTTGGTTCAGGTGACCCACGCACAGTAGCAGAAATAAACTGAAAAGTCTGAAGGGTAGTTGAGAGAATCACCTAATTGTGACCAAAAAAGTAACGCCCAATTCCAAGAGAAGAAATATCATTTGACTGGAAAGAATGCTGAAATTTGCAGAAATAAAAAACCCTTGATTCCCTAAATAGAAAAATGTTAAAATGTTAAAAATGTCTTTTTTTTCTTTATTTTTTCTGTTTTCCTTCCATTTCTTTCCTATTTTTCACTGTTCTCTTTATTTTTTATATATATATTTGTATTGTTATTTTGCAAAAAAAAATATTTTTTTTTTAAATAAACTGTTTAACGTCTCCCCAGATTACTCCCAGATTACTGCAGCGAGTTCATAATTGGAATCCACTCGACCCCTGGCAACAACCAGCGCTTCCGAGCGGAGGACTATCCGACGACCCCGAATGCAACTCCAGAGCATGCTGCATCGCCCGTCCTGCTGGAACTACACGTCCCAGAATGCATCTCGGGCAGCAGGAGGTTGGTGGGTGGCGCGTGCGGTCTATGAGTAGGAGCGGAAACAAAAGATCCGTCGATTAGGAGCGGAGCGGCACCTCGGCTTCGGCCTTAACACGCCCCGCGAGCGCCCGCCCTCCCCCTTCCTGGAGCAGCCGACGCTCTCCTCCTCCTCCTCCTCCTCGCAGCTTCCCCACACCGGTCCGCCCGCATTTCCCGCTGCCCATGGCGCTGAAGCGGATACAGAAGGTGAGCGCGCCCGAATGGGCCGGGCCAGGCAGCCCCCTCGTCGGTTGGGAACCGGGTGAACTTGAGCTTCCCGGGCCTGTGGCGAGGGGGTGGGAAAGGACAGAGACAGAAAGAGAGAGGCAGTTAAGCCAGAGAAGACGGAGGGGAAACCGCTTTGCGTTTCGGGAAAGAGGCGTCTCTGAGTGCGAGGACACCGGGACCCAGGCCTACCCGAAAGGACTTGAGGGCGAAGGGGATCGAAAATAATGACTCACCCCCTTCTTTTTTTCCCCTCTTTGGGAAGCAGGTTCTCGCAGAAGCTCTCTATGGATAATTTGGCAAATGATAGGCATTCTTCTCCCCCGCCCCCCCCACGGAAAAAAATGCTTCGTTCTCCTTTTCGATAGGCACCCTTATATTTCCTCCCGACTTAGTGGAATTGTCAAAATAAGGGGAGGAAATGATGCACGGGTGTGCAATTTTCCACAACAGAGAAGAAGAAGAAAGCTTGTCCATACAAAACTAGCCAAGTTAGAGATGTTTAGCCATTCTTCGATAAGAGTCTCTGCTGGGGTATTTTTCCTCTGGCCAAAGTTGAACCACCCAGACCCAGAATGGTTTTTCCCAAGCAATATTGTTCAAGGATGTTTTGCATAGAAATTGAATGTTAATACCAGGGTTGTTTTTAATGTTCAATTGCTGTAGGAAATGTTTTCCCTTATTGGGTGGTTTGAAAAGCTGCAACTGTTCACCATATAAAATTAATCTATTGCTGTCAGATTTTTTTTTTATTTGTAGATTTTTCCTAACACTTTTAACATTGCCTGGGCAAGAGAAGAAAAAAGAGTTATTTCTGTACAAGCTTTTACTGCATCTTAGTAAATATACATATCAGACCTAGCTGGGTTGAAGTGTGTTATAAGAGTGCCTCCTGCTCTGCTATTATTTTTGCAGCCTTTTGTGATGTTCTTGGAAGTACATATGGGCAAGCAGTTGGTAGGTTTTTTTCTACTTGGCCGTTTTCTCTGCCTAGCAGGGTAAGTGTAATTGTGTTTGGAATAAAAGGATGTAATTATGTGTATTCCACTTAAAGGTGAGGATCAACAGTCTGTCTTACTGAAGAATTAGTCTGAATAATTTGCTTCTGAATGCCTTATTTCTAAAGTAGTCTTTGCTTGTATCAGTTCTTGGAAAATTTCTGGTTTTAACTGGCTCCTTAGACTTTGCTTAATTAGTGTTAATTTTAAAATGTGAGAGGATTCAGATTTTGTCATTTGTTATTTATGTTGTTAAATTAGAGAAAATGAGGAAGAGCAACTAATGTCTTACCAAAAAAGAAAATGAAGTTTTTACTGATGACGTTAGCAATGGGTGTCATTTAATGAGATTTTATTTGCAAAAATAGGCAAGGAAATATTGCAGAAAACCATTATAATTACTCTAGTGTACTCTGTTCCAACCACGGGCATTGCTTTAATTGTTGGGAGATATTTTTGGGTGAAGATTTGGATCTCAGAACACTGTTCATAAAATCACCCTGTCATCTTTTCTTTCTGGAATTCACAGGGAGAGCTTTGAGACAAGTTGACTACCATAGGAAATAGTATGCTGGGCTAATCATAAAAGCGTTCTTACAATTCTCCACTTTACTAGATCTGTGTAGCTCCTTGAGAAGTCAGTTAATTAGAAAGGCAATGTTTAAATCAAATTACTTTTAAAAATAGAGTGCTTAGAATATGTTAAATGTTATGTCAAGGTTGAAATCTTAAGTGCCTTTAAACAAGCTCTATTATAAATTTATTAAGAATTACACATGTTTATATATGTCATATATTCTGATTAAGGATAAGCAATATTGCAACTTGTGAATGAATAATAGGAGATAAACTTGCTTTTTAATAAAATTAGATCCTAGTCAGATTATTAGTTTTCTCTTGGGGTACTAGGATATTTTAATATTATAAAATATTATTTATAAATATGTTGAGGCCATCTAGTTGGTGGCATATTTGTTTGAAAATGTGGATGTCAAAAAGGTTTTTTTTTCTCACTTGCCTGTATTTTTCAAGTACTCCACCAAATGGTTAGCAAGTAACTGTCAAAGGCCCACTCTGGAAATGTTTCCCATAACCCAGATGTATTTGGAGTTCTATAGAAAGAAAACATTTTGTCAGGGTAAATAACTTATTTCCACACATAAAATGCACTTAATAATTTGATGTTTGAAAACTCAATCCTTTTTTTCTGCTTTCAGCATTAACTTTGTGTTTCTAAACGTATATATAGATTTTCTATATAGATATTGATGAAAGATTTGACTTAATATCTGATTGATCCAAAAACTTACAGAAACAGACTTTAAATCAGCTTCATGAGATCATTGGTTTAAACTTCTATTTTTTATTATGTTCTTAAATCTGATGATTAAGTGATTTTAAAAATATAGAGTGGATAACTAGAAATGTTCTGTTTTTGTTATCCTTAGAATAGATACAAAAGTATTTTGTTAACTAAGCAGGGAACATTTAAGAATTGAATAACAGTTGTGTCTTTAAGGCAGATAAAAATATTTGTAAGGAATTTCAGCTTTATTGAATGAATTGAACTATCTCACTTGACTCTTGCAATTTACTTTCTTCAGCTAAATGATTGGTAAATACAAATATCCTTATATGCTATGTTAATTAAATGTATATTATTGTTGTTGCAAGTGTAGTAATATTTCTTCCACTCATTGATATGAAAGAATCTCCATTAAGATGGTTAGAACTTTGTGAAGTTTCTGAGAGAGATTAAATTCTGAGACAGTTTCCCAATTACCCTTCCAATAAATGATATTTAACCCATATCTGAAGCTATTTTTTTTTCCTGTTTTTTGGATAGAAGTCAAGGGCTGGTCAAATGTCAGTCATCTTGATGATCAGAAATTTTAACCGCAGTTTGGCCAGGTTATCTTTGTATATATCATGACTATCATGACTAGCACATTTGAAATTGGTGTGGATCTATTGGAGTTCCTCGCTAAACAGTATAATACCGTTTTTAGTTATCCATTCAGGTTTTTTTCTTATATCTTAAAAAACCTCCCAATCTCCAATAGCTATATGTATTTCAGTTTTCTGAAATCATCTTTATGATACCAGCTTGAGAGACAAGAGCTAGATTGATAGATGACAAAGTGAACGGGAACTCTGGTGATAGGCAATAAGAGAAAGCAAAATAAATATAGGTAAATGAGGAAAATGACTTTAGGTTGTAGAATAAACTATTTCTTTAATAGAAGTAGAAACAATTTATTTGTGAGTCTGCCAGCACTATAGCTGTTCAATCCTTGGACCTGACCTGTAACCTGCAGCTTCCCAAAGAGATTCCCCCTCAAATATTGAAAGATCTACATTGACTTCCAGTTTCTTTTCTGGCACTGTTCAAAGAGCTTGTTTTTCCATATCTAGGTTTTGGGTTTGAACATGTGTATGTTCTGAATCTGTGTTGAATCTTAGTTTTTCATTTAAATAATTAGGATTTCAGATAGTAGGAGAGGCACAATGTGGATCAGGGCAGATTAAGAGAGTGCACAGGGGTGCTTGAGAGGCATGGTATGGATTGGGAAGGGTGCATGTGTGTATGAGAGAGGTGCAGCATTGATCAGGGTGTGTAAGTGAGTGGTGCGTGGATTGGGGAAAGTTGAGAAGAGTGCATGGGAGTGTTTGAGAAGGGCAGCATGGGTTGGAGAGAATAAGGGGATAGGTAGGAGGCGCTGGGTAGATTGGGGAGGGTGTGTGGGGGTCTGCAAGTGGTGTTATGCAGGTTAGGAAGGCAATATGAGGATGTGTGCGAGAGGCACCATACAACTTTGGGGAGGAGGCTTGAGGATGCAGCATAGATTGGGGAGTGTGCACAAGTGACCCGTGTGAATGCAGAGGGGTTGGCGAGAGCGCATGATACGTATCCCCAGCAAATTACAATCTTCCCTGCCAGCTTCCCTTTCACTTTCTAGGGATGCTGACATGGAAGGTTACAAATAGCAATCATGTGATCATGGGGTGCTTAGCAAATGAATGTAAGTGTGAATGGGTTACTAAGCATTCAGATCACAATAATGTGACCACCAGTTGTTGGGATGCACTCCAAAGACCAGTTATATCTGTCATGTAGTTTCATTATAACTTTGAACAGTCATTGAATGAAGAATGAAGTTGAGGAATCCCTGATGTTATGGCTGTGGTCAACACTTACATCAACCACTTCTTGCTATCTCCCCCCACCCCAATCTCTGCCCTTTTCACCAGCCTCCCAAGTCATGGTGCAGATAGCAGTTGCCTGACATAGGGCCAGGACAGGCACACCTCTCAGCAGTGGGAGGAAGGTGGCAGCTGGGTGTAGCACAGCCAGCATTGCTCAGATTGGTGAGGCTTTGTATTGTGATGCTGATGATGGTTGGCCATGGAGCTTGAGCTGGCACTCCTTGATGCCGGTAGAACTAGAGGTCAGAGGGCTTCTGCTTCAATCCTGATGCTGCTGGGTGCCTACCACTGCTAAGAGTATAGAATGGCCACAAGGAGATTGGGGTGGATGGTAGGAATTCAAAAAGAGGCAGTCCCATTCCTTACCACAATTTGGGGCTGAGACGGACCAAGTTGGGAAAGCTTGGATTGAGGTGGATGCTTGCCTAATGACCAGTAGGATTTAGTAAATAATGGCAGTGAGAGCTGCTGGGAGCAACTGCATCACTAAGCAATGGAAATTTTGCTTCCAGTTACCATTTTAATCAAGAACTAACTGCTATTATTTCTGTTTGGTCATGATAGGAAAACAAGCAAGTCATTTATTTTATTTCTATAGCAATCTTTCTCAGAGAAAAATTCCAAAACAAATTTTCAAAAGGAAAAGAAAAGTTTTAAAATCACCATAAAAACCAATAATTCTTAAGAACAATAATGAAATTAAAAGTAATATTTATTTCAGAAGCAAAATAACAAGGCAAACCTAAAAGCAGTCAAGTAGTCTCAATGATTTTAGCATCAGCAGTTTAATTTCTTACGTAGACAGGAACCATTAACACATACAATCTCTTGCATAATTAAGATAACACATACAATCTCTTGCATAATTAAGAGTATCCGCTGTGTTTCAATGAAGTAGATCTCTAGGAAGATTTTAGGCTAGTCAGCATTTTACAGATCTTTTATTTAATCTGAAATTGAAAATTGTAAAGAGATCAACAGGTTTTCCACTACCTGCAGTTCAATAGCTTTGTTATAGGCCTTTGCTATATTCAACTTTCATGAGACTTGGAAATTGGACACTTGTGGATTCTCCTTTGGACTGGTAGTATCAGCGCTTTGCATAAATAAGTTATTTTCTCTTCTCCCTGAAACCTGAGCCCTTGGATTTAAAAAGGCACTGTGCTGGGAAAGATTTTGCCATTGGTTTCTTTGGACAAGTACACGCTGAAATGACCTTTCAGGAGTGATACGCTGCTAGTTTTTCAGAATAAAATTAATTTCAAATAAGCTTAATAGTTTTTCTAGAAGGTCAGGGGAATTATGTGAGGAACAACAAACATTTGGCTTCGTATTCAGTTATCAGAATGAATATTCATTTTAATGTAATTTAAAGACTAATAAATGAATGTTGGTGAATACTAATTGGTTATAACAATTTTAATGTGAGGAAATGGAAGGTCCTTTAAAAAAATCAGATTCACTGACTGTGGTTAATTTAAATTGTGGCTTGTTAAATAATCATAATGCCTGGTTCATAATAATAAGCCATAAACCATGACTCATAAACCATAATAGCTAGGTTTACACATTGTGCTAATCCAAACTATGTTTTACCTTAACACAATGTGGTAATCCAACTACCATCAAGTTTGTAAATAGCCACCCTGTAAAGATGTGATGCCCCAGGGAGAAAAAGAAGTGGAAAACATTTTGGACACCTCAGTTTCCCCAAGAAACACATTGGAAATTCTAAGAAGACCAGAGAAAAAAATTCCAAAGATTTTTTTTTCCTTCTGGAATTGATGCTTTCTTTTTCAAAAATGGGTAGTAGGATGGCTATGTAAAATAATAATAAGATAGATATTCATGACTATATTGTATTTAATATTTATTGTGTTTAACAACTGCTATTAGTCCTTACTATGATTATAATTCTAGTTCTGCCTCAATAATATTATCTTTTTTGCATATTATATAATTTCTAATTTTCAGCTGTTTTTTACATCTAAGTTATAAATAATTAAATTAGTTTAGTTAGTCCACTGCAAAATGATTTATAATAGTCATATTTAAGTATTTTAGGCATTTATTTTATATAAAACAAAGATATTCAAACTTTTAAAATTATAATCCTAGTCACCTTTAACTCAAGGTTATTTTCATTTCACAAAATGGTTTCACGAATAACTATGCATAGGATATATAATGTAAGCCATCATGGAAATATCTAGAAAATATTTTTTTCTTCTTTATTGATTAATTGGTTAAATATGAATAGCCTCTTGATAATGAAGCTAGGAATTTAGTAAAGTATTTATGATCCAGTCAAAAATTAATATTGTTCTGACTATGGAATTCAGTTAGCTTATTCCCTTGAAATAATAACAATCAGCTTTCCCACTGCAAAGTCACTCCCACCCACCCAATTTGGGTGAGCTTCCAGAACAGATGGGTGGATGAAGATGTGAAATCCATCAATTCCAGTGAGATTCTCCACTGTAAATAGCATTTGAAAGCATTAATGTTTGCCTTTAATGTATTACTATTCTGAATATAATTTTGACTTCTGACCTCTCTACCTTTTTGCTTCACATAGGTTTCTACTTAAGGACATGTAATTTTAATGTTCCAGTTTAAAATAATCTTCACTAATTCTGGTGGTTGGAATGGTTCTTACCAAGTTTCTACTTGTAGCAGTACACTATTATTATTTTTTTCCAACTTAGTGTTGTCTTTTAGGCAAGAATTAATTAACTACTAAAAATACAGTTCTTAACAATTTGTGTAAAGAATTAAAAAAAATTCTGTCCTACTGAACTGTTACACTGTATTGAGGGAAGTATCGAGTTGAATAAGATAAGAAATAGATTAGAACATTTTCACTTAAATTGACAATACATATAAACAGTATTAAAACAGCCAAGTAGATTGATAAAGTTTGTACTAAAAAATAAAAATTTCCTTTAGTGCCTAAAAAGAGAGATTATAGCATTTTACAGTATATCACCCAAGACATTGCTTCTTTTGTTTTATATTGGATTTAAATTTTATTTTATAAAAAGAGATACATTATGTATACTGTATACTATATCTGAAGTTGAATTAAGGGCTAGAACTGAAATATATAGCTCAAACTCACAATTGTCCTAGAGCTGGATTTAATACTACTATACAGGGAGGAAAAGAATTATTTGATCCCCTGCTGATTTTGTATGTTTGCCCACTGACAAAGAAATGATCAATCTATAATTGTAATGGTATGTTTATTTTAACAGTGAGAGACAGAATAACAACAAAAAAATCCAGAAAAACACAGTTCAAAAAAGTTATAAATTGATTTGCATTTTAATGAATGAAATAAGTATTTGATCAATCAGCAAGATTTCTTGTTCCCAGGTGTCTTTTATACAGGTAACGAACCGAGATTAGGAGCACTCTCTTAAAGGGAGTGCTCCTAATCTCAGCGTGTTACCTGTATAAAAGACACCTGTCCACAGAAGCAATCAATCAGATTCCAAACTCTCCATCATGCCCAAGACCAAAGAGCTGTCCAAGGATGTCAGGGACAAGATTGTAGACCTACACAAGGTTGGAATGGGCTACAAGACTATCGCCAAGCAGCTTGGTGAGAAGGCGACAACAGTTGGTGTGATTATTTGCAAATGGAAGAAACATAAAATAACTCTCAATCTCCCTCAGTCTGTGGCTCCATGCAAGATCTCACCTTGTGGAGTTTCAATGATTATGAGAATGGTGAGAAATCAACCCAGAACTATACAGGAGGATCTTGTCAATGATCTCAAGGCAGCGGGGACCATAGTCACCTAGTAAACAATTGATAACACACTATGCTGTGAAGGACTGAAATCCTGCAGTGCCTGCAAGGTCCCCCTGCTCAAGAAAGCACATGTACAGGCCTGTCTGAAGTTTGCCAATGAACATCTGAATGATTCAGAGGAGAATTGGGCAAAAATGTGGTCAGATGAGACCAAAATCGAGCTCTTTGGCATCAACTCAACTCGCCGTGTTTGGAGGAGGAGGAATGCTGCCTATGATCCCAAGAACACCATCCCCACTGTCAAACATGGAGGTGGAAACCTTATGCTTTGGGGGTGTTTTTCTGCTAAGGGGAGAGGACAACTTCACCGTATCAAAAAGGACGATGGGTGGGGCCATGTACCATCAAGTCTTGGGTGAGAACCTCTTTCCCTCAGCCAGGGCATTGAAAATGGGTCGTGGATGGGTATTCCAGCATGACAATAACCCAAAACACGCGGTCAAGGCAACAAATGAGTGGCTCAAGAAGAAGCACATTAAGCACATTATTTTCTAATATTCAGTTGAGGTCGGCCTTAATGTAATTTAAATCTATTAATTTTGATTCCTATTCCCTGGGAGCACCCTGAGGTCAGATCAAGTCCTAGCCATCTTCTGTGACATCTTTCTGGGTATTTTAGGTATTTATATAGAGTTTAGTCATATATTCTTTCAAGTTTGTCTTTTCAGGCTAAATATCCCCAGATATTTAGTCATGGGACTTAGTTTCTAGATCAGGGGTCCCCAACCAGTCCGTGGCCTCTTGGCCATCAGGCCGCGGGAATGGCTGGCAAGTGCACACATGTGTGCATGCATCCTTCCCACTTGTGCTAGCGCTGCTGTGCGGGTGCTAGCAGCCCTGTTTGCTATTGCACGGGCGCTAGCGCCACCGCCAGCATCATGCGGGTACTAGTGCCCCATTTGCGCATGTGCGCAGGCACTAGCACCCTGTTTGCACAGGTGTGCAGGCGCCAGCATCGCCACCAACACTGCCATGAATGTGTGCGCGCCACTTGCGCATGCGGGCGCTAGCGCACTGCCATACGGTACACATTTTGCACATGCGAGCGCGCGTACATTTCCCTGCTCCTTTCTTTCCCTCCCGGCCACCAACCCAGAAAGGTTGAGGGGCTCTGTTCTAGATCACTCTGTGTCCTCCCCTCCCCCAGTATCTGTTCCAGTTTCTCTAAATCATTGCTATTTAATGCTGAGAATTGCACATAATACTTGAGAAATGGTAGACTACTTAGAGAAATCTATTTTTCTTACTTACCAAGATAATATTGAATTTTATTTCTGTTTTCTACAGTATAAACCTACCCAATTTTATGCCTGAAAATTTGAGAAGCATTTCCTTCACATCAAAGTCATGAAAAAAAATACTGAAGAGTACCAGATTCAGGACTGATTTCATTTCATCACTCCACTTGATATCACATTCAGGTAGAAGAACTATTGAGCAGGCTTCAGATACATTTCTTGGACCAGCGATGTACAGTATTCATTGTCTTCTTTTAACTGGTAATCTTGCTAAACAGGATAGTTTGGGTTCTTTGTCAAATACTTCAATTACATTAAGATCTATTCTGTCTATAGCATTCCCCAAATCTACTCAATCCATGATAACCACTGGTAATCGTAGTTTTATTTTTAAGGGTGTTTGGATCATCTTTTTTACAATATGGTCTGGAATCTTCCCAAATTCCCTTTTCTCCCTTCTTGAAGATAAATATAACATTTGTTCTCCAGTTGTCTGGAATTTCATCGTTTCTCCAAGAGTTGTCAAAGACATAATGGCACACCTGATAATAAGCAAATTCCTTCATACTATAAAATCTGGTTCATCTGATTCTGGAGATTTCATCTCACTTCAAGTGAGCAGGTATTCCATGACTGCATTTCATCCTGCCCCTTCATCCTGCTCTTTACACTTGCCAAATAGAAGTCTATAAGAATAGGTTCTGCTTTTTCTGTGTTACCTGTTAGCATTTTGCCATTTTCACTCAGCAGCTGATTCTTTTACCTTTTGTCATGAATATAACTTGGGAAGCTCTTGTTAATAATTCATTGATTTTTGCATCCTTCACCAATATCAGCTCATTTGGAGCTGTAGCTTTTCTGACAACTGTAATTTTGGGATGAATAAATGAGTTTATTTAAAATACATACAAGCTGAGCTTTGCATTTGAAAATGAAGCAAATGGGCATGAAAAATTGAGTCTTTTTAGTCATAGTAAATTGCTTACAAAATTCTTTCACAAAAGAACCCCTTTGGCCCAATCATTTGGCATCCCTGGAAGGTTGAATTTTCAGGCAGTTGGAGAGCTGATGCAGTTACGACATTCTTATATATTAGGGCTTTATTATGTTAATACTTTTAATATACTTTATTAGTATATATAAGTTCATTTCTATTGCAATATAAACTTAAAAAACATAAATGAAGTACAACATACATTAATATTTGTATACTTGGGTTAGAATTAAAGTTTGTAGACTTACTTGCTTTTCCTATATATTTTGTACACCTGAGAATGTTATCTTTACCTCTTACAAACTTCTAATTTAGTTGGCATTGTTAATGAAATTGTGCAGTAGCCAATAAAATAATAACTTCAAAACATGCTAGTATAAATTATCACTGGCTCTTTCCTTGGCCCATGCAGGGTTTTGACTTAATTCATTGCAGAGTTTTACTCAGATTAAATCACGCTCAACTTTTGCCTTAACTCTTATTTAATCAGGATGTTTGGAAGTCTGCATTTATGTCTTTCCGCATAGGCTAACAACTTTAGAATTGAAATAATGTGGGAGTCATTGATTGTATTAATGAAAATGTATAAAATACATTAAATGTATGGAGATCAGTTATCTCACAGTAGTGCTCAATACTAATTATCTTAGTTCCATTGTACATTTATTGAATTTTACATTGATTAAAATTCATTTTGATTTTTTTTAGTTATAAATTTTGATCAAATCAATAAATTGGATCCAAATTTGAATAATTAATTTTGAGTTTGCTTATAACCTTCCAAATGTTTTATGTTTCTTACAGGAGCTAAGTGATCTGCAGCGTGACCCACCTGCACATTGTTCGGCTGGACCTGTTGGAGATGACTGTAAGATCTTTATAGTTGATGGCAAAATATTTTATTTATTTATAATATATAGCATAGTTAAATATTTAATAAGGTAAATAATATTTTGTGTTTTTCAGTGTTTCATTGGCAAGCAACTATTATGGGACCTGTAAGTATGTAATTTTTATAACTGAGTTCATTTTTTGTTTACTTCATTAATCATAAACTACGTTTTAATGTAATTGATTTCTGCATATGTATCTCAACCTAAATTCAAATGTATATTGTTTAGGTTTAGCACAGAGTGATGTGTGAATAAAGTCAGTGAATAAATTTTGGTTGGCTCTAAATAGTAATAGTAATAGAGTGTACGAATGAGTTGTTATATATATCCTGCACTCCAGCCCCTTCCTTCACCATCCAATCACTTACTGGTTATCAAACCTTAGGCATTCCTGGACATACAGAATGTTAGGTTGGCTTCTAATAAAACTCATCTCATCTGGGATATGATCTTGGCTGAGTGGAGCAGCTTGGTATATATTACTGAGACCCATCTCGGCAAATAAGAAAATGCAAATTAACATTATATTGTAGGAAGTTGCTATGTGCCTTGTAATATATTCTGAGGTTTGAGAAGTCACCTTGTATAAAATCCTTCTTAAATACCTTTAAGAACTAAATAGAAGGAAAACCATTTCTCACTGATTAAATAGGTTTCTGATTACAAAATTATATGTTGACTGTACAAAAGTTTTAGGCAGTTGTGTAAAATGCTGTAAATTAAGAATGCTTTCAGAAATAGAAGTGTTAATAGTTTATTTTTACTACTTAACAAAATGGAAAGTAAATGAACAGAAAAGAAATCCAAATCAAATCAATATTTGGTGATTAAATGACAGAATGTGTTTGTCAGGACTTATTACATACATTTGATGAAGTGGACTCTGATCCATGAACACTTATATAATACACAGTGTGCAAGTGAGTATTTTGATCATAGTATTTTCATGCATTATTTTCCACCTCCAAGCTGTATAAACTTGAATGCTTAGTGGATATGTGTAATGAGGGAAGGTGTGGCCTAGGGAGATCAACACCCTATATCAAGGTGTGCATAATTATTAGGCAGGTTCTTTTCCTCAGGCAAAATGTGCCAAAAAAAAGATTTAACTGACTCTGAAAAGTCAAAAATTGTAAAAAAAAAATCTTTCAGAGGGATGCAGCACTCTTGAAATTGCTAAGATATTGGGGCGTAATAACAGAACCATCAAATGTTTTGTTGCAAATAGTCAACAGGGTCGCAAGAAACTTGTTAAGAAAAAAAGACACACATTAACTGTCATAAGAATTGAGAAAAATCGAACGTGAAGCTATCAGGAACCCGTTGTCCTCCAGTGCTGTCATATTCCAGAACTGCAACCTACCTGGCGTGCCCAGAAGTTCAAGGTGTTCAGTTCTCAGAGACATGGCCAAGGTAAGGAAGGCGGAAACCCGACTACCACTGAACAAGACACATGTTGAAACAGCAAGATTGGGCCAAGAAATATCTGAAGACAGATTTTTCAAAGGTTTTATGGACTGATGAGATGAGAGTGACTCTTGACGGACCAGATGGATGGGGCCCATGGCTGGATCAGTAACTGGCACAGAGCTTCACTTCAACTCAGACTCCAGCGAGGTGGAGATGGGGTACTGGTATAGGCTGATATTAATAAAGATGAGGTAATTGGACTGCATCTTTCAAGAAAACCATGATTTTTATGCAGGACAATGCTCCATCGCATGCATTGAAGTACTCCACTGCGTGGCTAGCCCGTAAAGGCCTCAAAGATGAAAGACTAATGGCCCCCTTCCTCACCTGACCTAAACCCTGTTGAGAACTTTTGGGCCCTTCTTAAACGGGAGATTTACAGTGAAGGAAAACAGTACACCTCTCTGAACAGTGTCTGGGAAGCTCTGGTTGCTGCTGCACAAAACATTGATCGTCAACAGATCAAGAAACTGACAGACTCCATGAATTGGAAGGCTTATGACTGTTATTGAAAAGAAGGGTGGCTATATTGGTCAATGATTTATTTTAAAATGTCAGAAATGTTTATTTCTACATTTTGAGTTTATTATTATTCTCACTTTAACAGATACAATTAAACAAGATGGGCAATTTTTCATTTAGTTGCATAATTCTGCACACTAATAGTTGCCCAATAATTGTGCAAACATATTCTCCTAAGAAAGCAAAAACCTCACTTTTACTTTCTTAAATATTCAGGTTTGAGGTTTATTAACATTTTGGATTGACCGAGAGCACTGTAATTGTTCAACAAGAAAATTAATCCTCCAAAATACCACTTGTCTAATAATTGTGCCCACAGTGTAATAAATGTGTTAGTATTGTACATGGTACCATAAATAAGTAGCTAGTTCTAATTCCCCTTAACCCAAAATAGAAAGAGGAAACATGGAAAGCTAAACAGGTGATCTAGATCTTAGGTGTGAAAATGAAATGGGAGTAGAAGATACAAAAGTAAACAAAAGAGATGAACTCTCTTCAGTCTACAATATCACACATTGATTAAACAGAAATACTCATCAGCCTTACTTGTGGTTAGAGGTGACAGAACAGAGAGAATTTATTCCAGAGAAGAAGGAAATGAGGACCAGCAAGGTATAATAATGTATTGAATTAGAAGTGGGGAGAGCCAGATTTAAGTATGTCTTCAGCCTTGGAGAAGATATTTCATAACATAGGGCCAATCATATTCTCTTAGGCCAGGCTAATTCAAAAGGGGATGCTGTGTACATTAATTTATTATTTTAGAGGCTTATGATATTGCATAATTGTTTTCAACCACTATTTTATTTATAATGAATCGTGCTACTTTGTTCCTGGGTCTAAGCAGAACAAGATTAGTTCAACCATATATTTATTTTTATTTGTAATTTTGATTTCTACATGCATGACTGTTCATGATTATGAGCAATTCTTATTGATTAGAAATGCTCTTTAAATATTTAGAGCAGGGGTGTCAAACTCGCAACATCAGGTGACATGTCACGACATATCACAACTTTTTTTCCATTGCCAGCAATGGGGTGGGCATGGTTTCGCCATGACGCATCCAGCTTGTGGGCCGGCAGTTTGACACCCCTGATTTAGAGCATTCATTCATTGTTTTGTCTATGGAAATTCTCAGTCATCCAGGTCATAGTTGTCCCAAAGATGCTTTTTCACAAGGCAATTGGACTTTCTTGTGTTTCTTTGAAGATGGGTCACTTCTCATCCAAGAAGTTTCTTCAGCTCTGACTGGATGGTGGAGAATGGAAGGATTTATACTACTTGCAGACAGCTGGTCATTTGCATTCTTTTATAGAGACATTGCAGGGTCACCTGAGTAGTGCAAATGGGAGGGGAGCCTTCTTGGAACTGTTGAAAGTACTGTTATAGACTGGAGATAGATGATGTCATATCCCTCCCCCTCTGTTAAGAGAGGGCTGTTCAATTTTGACATAGATGGCCCCTTTGACCCCTCTTTCAAACCAGTGGTCCTCTCTGCCCAAAATATGGACTTTGCTGTCTTTTAAATGCAGATGGATTGCTGAATCTTGTCCAGATGGGTTTGTTCTCCTGTGTTCCTTCACCATCCATTCAGAGCTGAAGAAGCTTCTTGGATGAGAAGCAAAACATCTTCAAAGAAAAACAAGAAAGCCCAGTTGTCTGGTGAAAAAGCATCTTTGGGACATTCATTGTTTTACTGTGTTGTCAGACCTTAATGGTTCTGCTCTCCACCTTCTGGTTCAGATCCATAATGATATATTTTCTATGGCTGTAGAACTCTCAATTCATTCTTAATTCATTCTTAATTATTCTTTTGCCAGTCTTTATACTGGCTGAATCTGGGAATGTGACCAGGTTAAATAGATCGTGTTAACTGACAGACCATATATCCTACATCCTGCTATCTGAATAACTTTATTATAATTTATGTTACACACTCGGGCTCCATCATGCAATCAAGGTTGATTGTTGTTTCCTGATGTTAAATTACTGTGTCACATCTTAGGGATTTTTCTAGATTCTACCTTTTGAAAGAGATTCCTCCTTGAATTATGTCTGGCATTTGACTATTTGAAGGTTAAAAGCCCTTACAATACTGCTTTTAGCAAGATCTTTGTGAAGTCAGAAGAACTTTATCAGTATTCAGTATAAATTTACATTTTGGTTGTATTGATAATAGGAAATATTCTGTCTACTGGTATACTGTTTTACTGCTAATGTTGTACTGTATATATTCATTTTGCCTATACTGCATTTAGCTATTATGGCTGCTATTACATTAATCTGGAATGATGCAATCCCTCCTGTGTTGTTTTGCTTTTGGTTCTGCATCTTTTGATTGCTTTTCTGCAGTAGGAATAGGAACAGCAGAGTGGATGACTTATAGTACCAGGACAGGGAGGGGTGGGAGGAGAAGCAGGGAGTCTGGCTGCTAGTCCTATCAACAACCTCCTATCAGCCTGTTTTTAAAATGAGAGAAACAGAAAGCAAGAACAAGTAAGCACAAAGAGGAAAGAGAAAAAGATAATCTGTGGCTCAACCACAGAATTTCTAATAAAGCAGAAGAGGCAGAAACCACCTACCCCATAGATCAGGCACTGAGATGGCTACATTTGTGGATCTAGCCCAGTGATGGCGAACCTTTTAGAGACCGAGTGCCCAAACTGCAACCCAAAACCCACTTATGCATCCTCGGGTGCCGGGTGGGTGTGGCCCATTGGGTGGGTGTGGCCCATTGGGTTGGCGTGGCTGCGGTGGTAACAGCAAACTGGGTGGGACTAAAAAATTCAATCAATCAATTCCAACTTTGCAAGATCTTTTTTTTCCCGCAAGAAGTTGAAATTGACTGATTGATTGAACCTTTTTTTTTTGTACACGGCGACGAAGGCCTAAAGCGAAAAGGTTTTATAAAACCCAGCTGAAGGCCTAGGACTGGGGCGACGGCGCGCGTGCCCACAAAGAGGGCTCTGAGTGCCGCCTCTGGCACCCGTGCCATAGGTTCGCCACCACTGATCTAGCCAATGTCAGAATTTCCTTTTATCCCTACCTAACCCCACATTAGGGAGAGCAATTTTTCCCACCAGCAAGAAATTACCAGTCACTTTCCTGAACATATACTTTAAAGCTGTAAGAAAATCACTATTCGCCAGCCTTCTTACTGAGATAAATTAGAGCTTAGCTGTCAGTATGAAGCTAAGAGTGCTGTCTGAATTATTTCTCTCTAAAACGTATAAAGATTAAAATAGTGGTCATAATCAAGTATTATTTTAAGAAAAAGATAATCAAGATTTTCTGCAGGTTTGGATGAAAATTGGCTAAAAAATGATTGCAACCTACAATCTGCACTCTAAGTATGAATTTCATGCAAAAGATACAAAACTTTATCTTTTTCATTTTGTTTGTTTTCCAGCCCGACAGTGCTTATCAAGGAGGAGTCTTTTTTCTTACAGTTCATTTTCCAACAGACTATCCATTCAAACCACCAAAGGTAAACAGTAATTTTGAAATGCCATTTGTTCATTTTAATTGATGGGAAATTTTGCTGGGCATAGATATTTTATTAAAATAAGAGAATAGAATAAATAGATCAGAAGATAGAGCATTTTGAGAGAAACACAGAAGAATACAAAAGACAAATTATTTCACAATATTTTAAATTGGACATGGTGGCTTCAGCCGTTCCAGTGTTTTTTTAAAAATCCATTTTAAATGTATGTCTTCACAACAGACTCAAGTTGATGGAAATCTGAGGTCCTAGAGAATAGGAAACAGATCCTACTAGCTTTTGATCAGCTTCTCCACCCTCAACATTTGTTTGCCAGTATGCATTTTAGAGAAAAACTAATGGTCAATCTGTTACCTAAGATTAAGTTAGATCTTGGTTTTGGATCTGAATGTGCAAACTAGAATAGGAATACAGGTAGTCTTCGAGTTACGAATGTAATGGAGCCTACCCATTCCATTTGTAACTCAAAAATTCACTCCCTGCTTTTGCCCACACATTCGCTAATTGAATGCATGGGCGAATGCGCGGTTCGTTAAGTGCACATGAGGTATCTCCGGGTGGGGAAGGCCATGGAGGACTTGGAAATTACTCTTGTAACATGCCTTTAGTAAAAAGCTATATAAAGATCCAAATGATGGCTTAAAGCTCCAATCATTTTATGTGGTAGTGTATTTTACTCAAATAAGTTGGTTATAACTGTTGTATTAATGAATGAAGTAAAAGTATCAAATTCATTCTCTACCAAAAGTAGCAGAAAAAAATAACATATAATGCCTACATCACAGAAACTGATTTTCTTGACATTTTTGCATAGACATATTAGGATAGTATGAAGTGTCAGAGGGGTGCTTTGCTTCAATTGTTTGTTTTAGGCAAAAGATGACTATTGATTTTAATTGAATCAATTGTGTTATGGATGTCTATATGTCACAATTTTACACAAATGTATGAATAAAATATTACCTTATTCCATTATAATCAGCTATACATATTCTACATCTAAAAGCAACTCATTCATAAATTACAGTTAACACTGTCTTTAGTCCATTGAGTAACTAGCGCCATAAATTTATATTCCTAGTGCTAAATAAGTCTTTCAGCAATAAACAGGCATGAAGAATCTATTTCTATTGCCCAGCCATGAATTTCAGTGTAATAAGTATGCAACAAAAATATGGACATCCAAAAATGTTAAAAATTGTCTCAAAATCAAATTGATACACATACTGAATTCTGCTGAGAACATAATAATTTTAAGACATTGTAAAAATGTGTATTTGAATAAATTCATTACACTTATATTCATTCATTTTGCCAGATCCAATACCTCCTAAGAGATAATTGGGAGCTGCCAGAATTGGTAATAAGGTGGGTGGCTATATAAATGTTCTAAATTAATAAATTTCACCACTAATGATATCTTAGGGTCTGGAAAAATGAATATGTGTTTTATGAAAACATGATCTTCATCAGATTTGGGCATGAAGATAGCTCTGTCCTTCCAAAGAGAGGTTGAGCTATTAGTTATTACTTAGCATATATAATGTCTGACAAACTTGCTAAAAATCCATCCAACAAATAGTCTTATTTGTTGATTTTGCATGGAATTACTCTTTACTGCTCATTCATAAAGGGTATTTTTCTTTGAAAAATGTCAGATGAAACAATAAAATAGAAGTTATCTAGTATATGTGGTACAAGCAATTGAATTTTATTTTACATGCTTCCATTGCAGATTGCATTCACTACAAAAATATACCATCCAAACATAAATAGCAATGGAAGTATTTGTCTTGATATCCTGAGGTCACAGTGGTCACCAGCACTGACTGTATCTAAAGGTAATTCTATTTGTGAAGCATACCAGTGACATACTCTTTGTGTACATATTATATAAGATTTATATTCTGCATGGATCCCTAAGCGAGATAATTAAATAACCAAGCCTGAATTTGTTACTGTGGATTAAGTAATAAGACCATTACTATTGTCTTGGGTTGAGATTTTAAACTATGATCAAAGTGGTGACTGTAGTGGTCAGAATAGAGCCTTCAGAGGATGGGAACATGCATAGGCTGAGAGAACTCATCTAGAAAAACGTCTGGAGAACAGAAGGCCATTATATAGTAGTTGTGAAACTTCATTTAGACAGCAAAACTCATTGTAGAAAGAGTTAATGTATAGTAATTTAAAAAATGAATTTAATAGTTTATTTTTTGATTGGCACTTTTTAATCTGCACACAGCTCACAAACATTTGTGCCCTTTAATAAAATTTGTTGATGGGAAAAATGCTACCAGACTCCTGATTTTTTTTTATAGCAAAATTCAGTATCAGGCATATTAAGCAAAAAAAAAAAAACACAAACAAATAAAAAGGGACTAAGAAATAGTTTCTGAAATATCCAAATCATCTTTGATGCCAGAAGCAATAGGAGAAACTGGAGATAGGGGAATACTGCTCCATGGCATTTGTGCTAGGTTCTGAGGAATTAGTTGGAATAAACATTAGGAAGATCTAACTGAGAGACAAAGTCATAAGCCAGGGGTCTTCAAACCTGGCCCTTTTATGACTTGTGGACTTCCAACTCCCAGAATTCCTCAGCCAGCGTGCCTGGCTGAGGAATTCTGGGAGTTGAAGTCCACAAGTCATAAAAGGGCCAAGTTTGAAGACCCCTGCCGTAAGCTATGACAGTTTACATAGCTGGGGAAAACCCTGTTTTGTTACAAATATAAGTATCTCTGGATAACTGAGAACTACATATTAAACAATATCTTACCATCTGAAAAGCAACATTTTACTCTTTAATCTTAATTTTACTCATCTTTTAAACTATTCTCTAGTGATGATGTCAATTCCATACTTAGGAACCAAAATACTGAATTTCTATAAGGTACAGTGGAGTTATTTTGGTGGCAGTGGTTCAAGGTTTTATTAAATAATGTAGCACTAGTTTCATAGACTTAGTTCTCCAGTCTTAAGAATGAAAAATAATAGGATTCTGCACAATTTTGTTTTATTCCTCTGTTACTGTCACATTGTTTTGAATAAAAAGTTACCCATATTCTTTACCTACAAAGAAATACAATTTAGTTGAATGGAGCAATTCCACAATTTTTAAAATCTGCACCACAGCTTTAGAAGATGTGCCTCTCAGATAAGAGCCCTGTGTTTGTAATGAGTGCATGGAAACAATTTAGACAAGGCTGCCTTCAATTTAAATATCCTTTGCCTATGGAACCCAATCTCAAGTTGCCACTCATATACTATGTAGACCTTTTTTCCCAACTTCAGTACCTTGGACCCATTTTAGATATCTCACTTATTTTAAATCTTTAAATAAAGATTTAAAGTATTTTAAGTATTAAAGTAACTTACATTCTTAAAGTAAGTAGTAAAAATACTTAATGGGCAGATATGTGCTTTAAAAAAATCAGCTCAGGAGAGAGGGGAACTGGAATTTCTTACTAGAAGTATAATGTCATTTATACTTCTCAAACTGCTATGCTTAAGCACTTTTTAAAATATTTGGGAAAGGGTGGCACTCTAGCCAAAAAAAGGAAATACAGAAACAGCCTCTTTTAAATTAATTGCTTTTTTTAAGATACTAACTCCTGTATTAGTGTTTTGTTTTTAAAAATGAAAGGATTGTCAAATTTAGTTTCATGATAAACTCATTTTTTAAATTAAAAAGAAGTAAAATGTTTCCCTAAAGCATGTTATGGCCTAATGCAGTATCTACTTATGCACATTTACATATGGGAATTTAATTCTCATGCTGCCTTGTTTTGGGGAGTGAGATAAAAAGGAGAATATTGCATGCTTATTTTGGCAATAGTTCTTTAAAAAGTAAAGATCGGGGATGTATTGAAATTGTATTGTGCTTTCCCTTAAACTACTAAAATAAAGACCTCAAATTTCTTTCAGAGTAGGAAGCACCTCTGGAATTGGGCAAAGTTACAATTATGTTAGAATACCCAAATAATAATGTGCAGGAGTTAGTAAATCTGAGGAGCTAATTTCCTCAAATGTTGGAAAACAGGAACTATTGAATTATAAGAGATGAAAATAAGTAGCTACTTTGAGGCCTAATTATTATCTTACATCATGAAAACTATAATTGATTATTTTTACTTTCCCTCTAGTGCTTTTGTCCATATGCTCTCTACTTTGTGACCCTAATCCAGATGACCCTTTAGTACCAGATATTGCACAAATCTACAAGTCAGACAAGGAAAAGTACGTATAAATATTATTTCAAAAATTGTAAGCCACTAGTTTGTTCTTTCCTGTTTTTTTCTCTTTGCACCCAAAGATATTGATGAAATGATTCAGTTATTTTACTAGACTTTATTTTTCCAATCACATTACCTTTTTTAAAAAAACTGCACACATGGTTTTCAAGTCCAGTTTCCCTTAATATATGTTAAGTATGTAAGTTGAAGAGGAAAAGATACAGCCTTATATCATGTTTCTCATGTTGGTTTGAACCATGGCTTTCTAACCTGTACATGGGTTTCTCATGAGGACAATAGCATGTTCTGAGATTCCCATTCTCCTAAGCACGTTCGACGTAAACATTTTTCTGTAATCCACGAAGCACTTATTGATGTGTTGGCTTTCTCATCTAGCAGGCATCAACAATAATACCTTTTGCACTTTTCAATTCAGGCATGGAACATTTTTCATAACCCTAGCTCTGTTCATTTAAACAGCATGAGCTGACTTCAACTTGAGAAAGTCTTTATGTTTAACAAGAAAACCTTTGAACGAAGATTTAAACTGATATAAATTTAAAATAGATACTCTGTCTTAAAACTATTGTCTATTATGCTTTGGAGTGGTGAGACAATGGGTATTTTACATGTGTTTTTAATCTAAGAAAAGTAAGTAAGCAAATTGTATGTACACTTCAATTTACAAAGTTTGGAAAATGTTTCACATACTAAACTAGCTGGTTTACTTTTAAATATCTCCTTAACTGTCCTAAGATAAGAAGAGGAGAAAAGACATGAAAGCACAACATAATGACGGTACTTCATAGCATTGTCATCCTTCAGTTATTACAGGAGTGAGCCTCATTTATTTCTTGAAGTGTACCACATGCTTGCTGATGTGTGCCTGTAAAACTCCACCTTTATCAGAAAAAGTTGCTGTACAAATATATTGCTATGTTTTCTCACTGAGCCAGCAATTTACCTCTGGGTTTCCAACCCCTTGAGAAATCATTATGGATCTGGGTTGGAAATCATCAACAACACATTTTGTATTCCAGCAGTTACAAATCTATCCAGTTAAAATGGCTCCTCCAAAATACTTGCTTTTTTATTCCACTATGACCAGATAGACTGCTACAAACCAATCTTGTACTCTTTAAATTTCTACAGTACCAAACAAAGCTGGCTTAAAATAGTTATAGTCTTCTACTGGAAAAAAAATAGACATATCTGTTTGGGAGCTGCAATTCCAACACACGTTGAAGGCACACAACTGAGAAAGCTGGCTTAAAATAGTTATAGTCTTCTACTGGAAAAAAAATAGACATATCTCTCAGTTGTGTGCCTTCAACGTGTGTTGGAATTGCAGCTCCCAGAATCTCTCAGCATCATTGTTTTCATGGAAATTCTGGATGTTGCAATACATCTGAAGGGTGCCAAGTTAAAGAAGGCTTTTCTAAGCACTTGTATCTTGTAGTTGATTGTATTTGCAATGTGATAACACAACTGTGAATCATAAGCTTGTATATTTTCACATTTTTTTCTTGGACAGATATAACAGACATGCAAGAGAATGGACACAGAAATATGCAATGTAAACTTTGAAGACATTTTCTTATATACCAGAGTACTGTAAATTTTAGGGTTTTTCAAAATTAGAAGTAAATGGAGCACAGTTTACTGTTTTCAGTGTACCATGAAGCCCTTTTTGATTTTTACCCATGTAAGTGTGTTTCTGGAACAAGGAAATTAACTACAAAAATTAACCTGAAGACTGTGACGAGAGTATTTATCCTTTCTGTATGCTTTGCAAAAGACATTTATTATGTTTTTTTAAAGATACTTGGACATCTGCATCTTCAGCCTACAAGATTCATAGTGCAGTTGTAGAGCAACCAAACTATTTTTTGCTGAAAACTAGGTGGTACATAATAAATATTCTGTGTATTTGAGATGTCAGTCTTGTAAGTCTGTTTGAATGTCATTCTTTGTTAGCTCATTGTATAATTTGTATTTTTTTACTGTATAGACTATATTTTATTTACCATATATTTCAACTCATTTTAGACTTTCTGCACAGTATTGAAAAATACAACTGCTACTAAATGAGTGAAGTATTCCTTCCCAAAGGAATATTCTATAAACTGATAGACTCCTAAAAACAAACTTTGCACTCTAATCTTCAGTATGCTGATTATGGGGAAACACATGGTTTTGATTTTGTTGCATACTTCTATTGCAATGTGAACTAATTGCACTGCTCTGTAGAAAGAAATGTAACTAATTTTATTCTATTCACAGCTGACTTTTTATCCTATATGGGCAATATAATCTCTGACATGTTAACAAAATTGACTTGAAGCTTTTCCGTATAAATAAAACATGTTTTTTACTACTTGTCTTGGCTGTTTTTTAAATCTAGCACATTCTTTACATGTGCATGCTCTGAAAAGATCAAAATATTGTTCAATATATAAAGTACCATTGGGAATAACTGACCTATATGCTTGAAAATGCTCCTGAGAGCATTATAGTAGCTTTTAAACAAATTACTTATTGTACTCTATTGATCTAAGCCGATTGATCTTTTTATCCAGTATAAACAATGTACCTTCAAGCTTGCAAAGTAGTTTGGAAAATGTGCTTATGATGAAAACAGTTCATTTTAGAAAATCAGAAATGCTTCTTCCCCCAGCTGTGTAGCAATATTTTGATCTGATATTTCTACACACAAACTAATGCTAAAGCCAGTATATGCATACTGCATGTTTGGAGAAGAACAGCCTTTGGTTCCTTACAGATAAGTGCATTATTTTTTAATGTAGATTTTAAGGTACTAAGCCAATATGAAATGCATTTTAATTTGTAGCTGAAATAATTCTAAAAAATGATTTAGCTAGAAGATTTTGCTGCCATAGATAAGTTAACTCTTTATTATCCTAGTGCTTTGCGATCCCAAAAAGTATTCAAACAAAAACCCATAACTTATTTACTTCCATAAAGTACTACTTATAATGCATTCAGCCACCAACTTGTAACCAAACCTATTTGATACAAGAGGATAATCGAACCTATTCACTTTATAATATGCTTCCTCTAAATCAAAGATACAATAAACTTTCACATCTATACTTTTCTCAATGACATGTTGAAGAGCAAAGATCTGGTTTGTACATCCCGTTCATCATAAAGCAACAGTATACCCTCAGATTTTCTCATTAACTCTTCTATTCTTTCCTCAGAATTCTGCCACTCTCAAGTGCACATCAGTTATTGCATCTATTCATGCTATTTTCTCTAAGAGAATAATACATTCTTCAATATTCAGCATTAGAAACAGTCATCATGCATAAGTTAAAAAGTCACACAGGTACTCTAAACTACATTCATATTTTAACATTTTTTTCCTATAGTTTTACAATTTTTCAACATTTTTACAGCATTTAGGATTTTTTCTTATATTTCAAATTCTACCTATTATTTTTTCAATCATAGCTTTAGACCATACCTTTGAATGCTATTTTTCAATTGTTAAATTGCCTAAAAGTTTCATTATGGTCTTATTAAAGCTTTGGTGGCTAAGAGTAATGTATAAATTCTTTATTAACTAGCTTAGCTTTATCTCCCTCATATATGTGTAATAACCTCAATTCAAGGATACCATTTATTCATTTTCTTGTAATTAAATATATATCTTCATTTCTCTGCATACATTCTATTCATGGTTCTGTAAGATCAGGGTTTCTCACTTCAATTCTTTTATGTCCTGTTAATTTTAGAGACACTCTGAATCTGTTCTGGAAATGTAATTTCCTTGCCATTTGGCAAAACTGTGACATTCCCAATATACATCCTCTCAAGCAGATTTCAAAACCGACATCATCCTGAGAAAGAGAATTAGGAAAGTTAGGAAACTGAATTTTTAATGTGAATGTCGGCATATGTTCTTGTTAATTTCTTGTGATGATGGTGAGAGTAATAATGAGAAATTCTTATCTCTTTACAGATGGAAATGGAGAAATTCTACCTAGAATAGACAAGACCTATAATTTACTTTGAGTATTACTTTGTCTTGTTGCATTTTTCTTCTTTAATAAAACTGCTATTCACCTTAAACAGCTCCATAATTCCTATTCATCAGCACTGAATATTTTCACTTCAATAGTTCAAGTTAAGCATTTATTTTTATACTTTTAACTTCCTTTATTTAAAATTAAGTTTGATTATGTGTATCTCCAGAGAAGAAAGTTGATTTCCTCAGTCATCTGCCTCCGTATCAAATGACCAGGAAATAATACTATAATAGGTATTTCCCTTTCAGCTTTGACTTTTTATTACAATAAAAGCAGTACATAGTGTGAGAGCCTACTTCTGTCACACAGTTGGGTTAGGAGAGGATTCCAGAGGAGGCATCCTGTGGAAGATGGATGGTAGCTCTACTGCAGTGTTTCTCAACCTTGACAATTTTAAGGCATGTGGACTTCAACTCCCAGAATTCCACAGCCAGCATTGCTGGCTGGAATTCTGGGAGTTGAAGTCCACATGCCTTAAAATTGTCAAGGTTGAGAAACACTGCAAGAAGCTGGTGTCCCACGACAATCCACCCTCGAAGCTCATCCAATCCACTACAAGCTATTTTTCTTGTTTCATGTATTGATTAATCCTCCTGTATTTCAAATCAATGCAATACATTTAGAGGAATAACATTAAAATACCCTTTGTTTTTTTTCAACGGTAGACTGATCTTTGACAATATTAAATTTCGCAGCAATTTAATTCAACCACCAAAGCTTGCAGCACATCAACGCGAGATAATAATTTATTAAATTTATATTCCGACTGGACGCAAATGCGACATACCAACAGAAATAAATAATGTATCGATCCTGTCTCCCTTTGCCTCCCATTACTTTTCTATTTCTTTTTATCAATTTTTAGAATGTATCTAAAAATACTGCAAAGAATGGATGCCGGTGTGCTTTTATTTTGCATATCGCGCTAGTAATCAGGAGTAGGCAACCTTGGCTCTTTTATGACTGGTGGACTTCAACTCCCAGAATTCTTGAGCCTTCTGGGAGTTGAAGTCCACGAGTCATAAAAGAGCCAAGGTTGCCTACCCCTGCGCTAGTTGTTTCTTTGTGCGTTCGCCACCCGCACCCGAAGGATTCAACAAATGGCGACTGAATCCCGGAAATGCATTGTGACGGGGCGGAAGGGGAGCCCCTTTGCACTTCCGCCGAGTCAGGTGACTCAGGCTCCGTTGAACGCCGGTTTCTTCGCCCGCTGCTCTCGCGAGCGTTCGCTTCCGTCCTCCGGTTTGTGTGCGGGGTCGCTAGGAGCCGCAGGAAGACAGCGCGCGCACTTTTCGTGAGGCCTGCCGGGAGTGAGCGAAGCCCTCTGCGTGCGAAACCAAGGTGAGAGGCCTGCCTTTTTCTCGCTCGGCTTCGCCAGTTTTGGCGCAAAGGGAGCGGGGTGAGGAGAGGACTGGCTCCGGCTCTTCTCTCTCAGAGCGGGAGCCGTCTTTGTTCTTCCCCAGTTTGCAGGCCTTCCCTTCTCCTTTTCTCCCCCTTCGGGGCTTGGCGCATTCTCTCTTCTGCCTAGGCCCACCCGTTGGTCTCCGTTCCGTGACGGCTAGCCCTCAGTTTAGCTCAGGAGTAATAATATCCAGGGTCAGAAGCTTCGGGCCCTGGCTTGGTTTTTAGGTTGATGGAAAATAGATGTCTTTTCTCTGTCCTTAATCCAGTGTTTCTCAACCTTGACAATATTAAGGCATGTGGACTTCAACTCCCAGAATTCCACAGCCAGCAATGCTGGCTGTGGAATTCTGGGAGTTGAAGTCCACATGCCTTAAAATTGTCAAGGTTGAGAAACACTGCCTTAATCCCTTCCCCCATATTAGCAGTTCCTCCGCGGCTTCCTTAATTCTCCGAAAGATGCTTTTGGTTTTCCCCCTTGCGCTTGTTTTTCTTCTTTCTTACACTCTGTTCTCGGTGAAGTCTTTGTTATCACAGCTCCGGGTTTTCTGCTTTGTTACAGAAATGTGTAACTGGCTGTACTAGAGAAATAATGAAGGGCCTTTAATACACAAGGGGTGGGGGTGTCACGTTTGTTTTCTATGGAATAAGATTCAAGTTTAGAACTGGTGCATTATTTTTTTGCCCTCTTCCCAGAAAAGAGTAGCAGTAATCTAGCAGATAAATGGCAGGTTGATGTGTTTCAGAAAATAACAGGTAGGCTCGCTATCAGGCCAAATTCATGTAAATAAGAATTGTATAGTTGTTGTTTTTTCCCTACAGATGAATCCTTTTAAACGATTACTATTACACTTTGTGTAATAGCACTTTAGATGCTGATAACGATTAACTGTGCTCTCTCTTTATCAGTAAATAATATTTCAGCTTGGTTTTTATTGTTTTTTTATTTCTAATTATTTCTGTATTTGATCCTTGTTTGTCATTAACATAAGGACTACTACTGCATTCGTGTCAGAAGGTGCTTCCGGGTTGCAAGAAAGGATTGCTTATAAAAGATTGATGAATTTGAATTGCTACTGGGTTTTATTGTCTTCAAAGTGGGCAGTATTTTTCAAAACAGGTGTCTCAATCCCATCTATTACCTACATGCTAGTAGAAGATTTTCTTGAAAATGAAACATTCCTAGAGAAGGAATGCCAGCTTTTTTATCTTGTCAGCAATATCAAGAAGGCAAAGGTTCCCCACATCTAGGCTTGGGAAGTAAGGTTTCTGTGGATTGCACAAAATGCAAGAGTTTCCTCCTTCTGAAGTACTTGCTAGAAATTTAACATGGGAAGAGTGGGGAAATAAAAAGCTCCAGTATTGTACATTTAGGATATCTTACTTTATCTTTGACAAATTACTATTCACTATTTTTAATAACGAAAGCAAACAATCCAGTGTCTATCTAAACTTGGGATAGGTAGCTTTATTTCTCCAAAGGTTTTGAATTATAAGTGCTGTAACACCTGTCATTATGATAAAGCAGTGGTTCTCAACCTTTTTAATGCCGCGACCCCAACCGGTCGTAAGTCAAGGACTAAACCGGTCGTAAGTCGAGGACTAAACCGGTCGTAAGTCGAGGACTAAACCGGTCGTAAGTCGAGGACTACCCAACCGGTCGTAAGTCGAGGACTTTCCCTGCCCAGGAGCGCCACGCATGCGTGGTTCTGCCCCCTGTGCCGGCCGAGGCGTAGCTGGCAAGCGGCAGAGACGGAGCAGGCCGACCACCAGCTGGCCCAGCCCAAGGGAGGTAAGGCACCCGCCGGAAAAGGGGAAAAAAAATAGCGGACAAAAAAAATGGCGGACAAAAAAAATGGCGGACAGCCTTTCTTGGTGACCCCCGTGAAATGGTCGATCGACCCCAAATGGGGTCCCGACCCACAGGTTGAGAACCACTGTGATAAAGGTATTTTCAACTAACAAAAACATGTCATTTTACTATGTACAATGGAGTTGTGAAACAGCAAAAATATTGGATACAAATACAAATAATCATGCAAGGAATGTTAAAGATTAACATTCAAATGAAACCAGAACTTTATGGATAGCCAATTAGAAAAGACTTATGGGAAACTTTTTTTTTACCTGGTAACTGCAGCAAGATTATGCTCAAAGTTGGAAAAATACTGAAATACCTAGAGTGGAGAAATGGATTGTCAAGATAATGGAATTAACAGAAATGGCAAAATTGATCTGTTTGATCAGAGGTGAGACAATAAGTGCTTTTGGACTTTTTGTTCAAAATGGTGATTTCCTGATTTCAAAGGGTTGTATATGGAAAAAAAGGAAGTACGATGTAACCTTATAGAGGTAGGAAAAATAAAATTTGTTAATAACTGCTGCAAAGAATATTGGAAGTTACTTATTTATATATATTTCCTTTTTTCTTTACTTAACCTACTTTTCACACATTTTTTTGTTTTCTTACCATTACTTCAAATTATTTATTTTTATTTCTATGTAAATCTTTAATAGCACTTAACCTTTGGCCATGTTTCTGGGGAATTATGATAAGCGTAGTTTAAAACATTTGGAGAATATTATGTTGTAACCTGTGTTATTAAAAGTACATCCTGCTCAATATTGTACTTCATTGTTCCCCTTTGTGCAAGTTTCTATTAATAATAAAAATAGTAGTCTACCAAGCAGCACTGTTTTGATTTCTAGGCAGGATATGTTTTGTGTATGTAAAAGGCTTTTTACAGACCTACAAATTGGTAGCAGAAAGATAATTCTAAGTTTTGTTTTTGTGGTTATTACCAGAATTAAAAGAGTTATTAATCTCTTGTAGCATACTAAATTGTCAAATCTAACTCCTTATATGAAACTTGAGTCTAATTAATCTACAGATGGATTTTTATAATACCTTCTGAAACAAATGTCTGCTTTACCTATATTTTTTCTATTAAATGTTATTTAATTTTTTAAAGAAAAGTTTGTATATCAAACTTTTGAGCATCAATATAGTGCTAATAGAACTATTTTATTTCTATTGGGATTTTTAATATTGGCCTATATTGATTTGGTTTAAATGAAAGATGGGCAAGTCATATATTAACAATGACAATCTGCACCTTTTTAAAATTTGATATAACATTAACAAATCATAAACCAAAACATTGATAGTAAAGATTGTAAAGAGGCCTTATATTTTTATTAATGCAATTTATATGGGACTGCCTTTATAAACTTCAGCTGTGAGATAATACGACTGCTGGGTAGTTTTTCAAAATAATTTTAGTGTGGCAGTTTTCATTTCTCCTCTTTGTGATCATATTTTTTTATACTTTCTCTGTTGGTCTACATGAAACATATTTTTGAAAGTACAGTGTAAGATCCACTAGGTATAGGTCTTCTTGAACTTTAAGAAGCTACTCAAGACAATTATATTTTATTGCTTTAATTGGTTGTCCAGTTTCTGTTGTTGCCTCTTAACTTTACGGATATTTTATATTGTTGCTTAAAATGTCTACAGTTGTTTGGTTTGCTTTTAATATAGCTTGATGAAGTAATACAAAGAATATGCCCAAAATGTTAAGCTTATTTTTATGACTAGAAAAGTATTAACAGTCTTTTCAAAGATTATTTTTGAAAATGGAGATTGAGATTAGACTAAAATAAATGTATATTTAAGACCAAAAAGAAAAAAAATGTTTTAATCATGTCCAGTTGTAGTTCAGATATCAACATACTGAGATAATGTATAAATAACCATACAATAATATTAATTTAAATTACTCTTTCAGGATTACTTGGGTCATGTTTGCATCTTGCTATCTATGAAGATTTATAGTATTCAGCCTGATAATCTACATTTCATTTTATCTTATAATCTGAAATACAGAAGAACAAGAGGCTTGAAATAAAATTCTTAATAAATGAATAATCTGGCCATTAAATTGTACGTACAATTAATTTGATTTATATTATAGCTTCTTTTTCTTTTTGTAGATGTCAGAAGACTTGGCAAAACAATTAGCTAGTTATAAAGCTCAGTTACAGCAAGTTGAAGCTGCTTTGACAGGAAATGGAGATAATGAAGATTTATTAAAACTCAAGAAAGATTTGCAGGTGAGAACTGAGAAGAAATAAATTTGCTAATTGAATGTTTCCTATATAGTGAAGAGTTCTGCAGAATTGTGTTTGACTGCTTCTGAAGACCATCTGCTAGGAGACTAATGGACGTCTTTGTGAAGTTGGTTAGCCACTATGAGAACAAACTGCTGGACTAGATGGTCCAGTGGTCCAAACTAACAGGAACTGCTTATGTTCTTATGTTCATTTTAGTAATATCTTAATCAGAATGTGCTGCAAAATAAGATTAAGGTTTAATTAAGTATAAAGTAGTAAATTAATCATTATGTAAATATTAATAAGTTTTTTCCTGAGGATTAAATTAGCTTCAGAAGAATTAGGGCTATCATCTGCTTAAAGGCATCAGTCTATAGTTGCATAAGTATGGTTATAAATAAAAATATTCTGAAGTTTGGTTTAGTATATATACATTATATAAGGTATCATTCTAAAGTAAGAGCATATTGAAAATACATTTTGCCATCTTTCTGATCTATTTTTAACGAGTCATTTTCCACAATATCTTGAGTGTTAAAATATCCTCAGTTATACTATCCTATAGGAATCAGTTAAGCAGGGACTGTTTAATGTGTGACATGTTCACTGAGGGAAATATATTCAAATGGTAAGATTCTGAAACCACATAAGTTTTGTGAGTTTTTTACATTTTTTTTAAAAAAAATGCTTTATAGCTTGTAATTCAAAGGTGTGACTAACATTTGAATTAATTAAAGCTCAACTTCAGCGTGCATAAAAACACAGCAGGGTGAGAGTCATAATAGAGTAAAATTTTTAAAAGATGACTAATAGTGAAGACAAAATTATTTAGATATTTTTCTCTGAAGTGTATATTTTTTCTGCTTGTATCCATTTTTGCATCACAATCTATTTTTTTCATTGGGTAAGATTTGGTCAATATTTCAAGAAATAGCTATTTGACCTTTTTTCATGCACTATAGCCTTCCCCAAATTGTTATCTTCTAGGAAAAAGGTACACAAATCTTGTGATATTCTTCACTCTCTAAAATCTCTATGACCCTGCTGAAATAAAACTAATAATTTCATTGGAGTTAAGGCTTGGCAAAATATGCCACTTTTAATCATTACAGTTTAACCCATACATCAAATAAAACAATTTCAAGTGAAACCATTGCATTGGAAATAAGCAGAAGGACCCAATAAAATTTAAAACCTTATTTTTGATGAGAAATATGACTTGTTTTTTTTCATAATTGGTAAAAGTTGGGTTTCCTTTTGAAGGCAGACAATCTAACTCTCAAAAATTGGGGAACAGAGGAAAGAGTTTTTATTGCCTTAAATCAGTTCTGTTACAGTGCTTTTATTAATGTTTCAATATTCAGAAACCTGGCAAGTTATACATTTCTTTGTATAGTCTCTCCCAACCCAGTGACAGTGAGATAAGTCCAACCTTAACATTTCCCTTTAGATTGATTCTTGTAAATACCTCCCCCACTCCTGTTATAGATCCGAGTTTTGCACAGAAACCTTGGGTTTTCAGGCTGGTCATTCCTTCTTTTAAAAAAACAAAACAAAAAAAACCCCAACTGCAGTAGGCTATTCACAGCCTCTGCATTGCAACCCATACTTTAAGAAACACTGGTGTAGATAGGTAGCCCCAACACAGCTGGACTCCACTAGTTGTAGAAAGGTTATGTTATGTATCTTCAGTAGATTATGATAATCTGATAAAAATGCAGGTACAATAGATTTTTACAGATGTTCTATTTAAACTATGTTTTAAAACTTTTGTTATGGGAATTATAAACCCTTACATATATTTAACGTAATAGTGATGTACTAATTTAGGCAACTCCTATGTTTTGAAGTTTTCATTTTTTAGCCTTGTAGTTTACTAAAAGTTGATTTATACAGAGTTATACAGTCCAAAATACTCTGGATAACATGGTTGGTATCATAATTCATCTTGTAGAGATTGTGTTCATTTGAAAATTTACAAATGTTTTCAAAATGTTGCATTTAAAAGTTTGGTTATCCCTGCTTTAGCACAAAATCCAGAAATTCCAGTTCTTTTACCTATTTTATTGATGTATTCTTTGCATATATTAAAACTGTACTTTGCGGTTTCCTAGAATACGTACATGTTTTGTGCCAGTAATTATTTTTAATAAAAAATGTAAAAAATCAACCCAGAATATTTTTCTGCCACAGTAATTCTTTCTGCATCTATTATATTAGCTGAAGTATAATGATATGAATACAGAATGAGATATTATATGTAATTGTTCACATATGATATGAATATAGTGTAATATTTACCAAGAAAATAGATATTCAGAAAAGGCTAGTCTGTGTGATATTTCAGATTAAATTCTATAGTTACTTAAAAGTCTGCAGAGAAATGAGTGCATTTCATTAAAATAAGCAAGTCTTTTCCTAGGATTAGGAAAGATAGTTGTTAAGGGAGTCACACAGCAGTTGTCAGGTCGACCATACTTCCCTAGTGAAGAGATGCAGCTACTTTAAGGCTGCAGAGAAGTGCTAGATTTGCCATCTCATTGACTTTGGAGCACCTTTTAGGGATTGACTTTGAAATATTGTACTATAAATAAAGTTTTCATGTGCTTTTCCGTCTGTTACTGTATATGCTGCAGTTGGTAAATACTTTTCAAAAGTTGTGGGGATGGGGAGAGAGAATGTTTAAAGTCTTCCTTTTTTCCCCTCCCACCAGGAAGTTATAGAATTAACTAAAGACCTCCTTTCAACACAACCTTCAGAAACTCTTGCAAATTCTGATAGTTCTGCGTCTACCCTCCCCAGTCACACTTGGAAAGTTGGAGACAGATGTATGGCAATATGGAGTGAAGATGGACAGTAAGTGTAGAAAACAAACTTCTGTACAGTTACATGAATTAATACAATTTCATGGTAAGATATTTCCCTTTGGTTTATATTCTCTCCATCGCCATCATGGTAAATACCACCTTGGCAAAAAAAATTGTAACCTACGGTAGTCAGTCCTGGTATCTTTTAAATTATATTTTGTCATCAGCCAACTAGCATAATCACCAAAGCATGGAGAGTACCAAGATGAGGGTGGCTAGTTAAAGGGAGTGCAGGTATAAATATATATCTTAAACAAATACATTGTTTGGGAATATATAGTATTGGTAAATTCCAATTTTGCTTAGTCTATAGTCTCTATTAGTATGATCCCTAATAAACTTTTAAAATTTGGAATACAATAATCAAAATGGAATGATAATGCTTTTCCTCAGTAATTGAAAGGAAAATGCTAAGAATATTATTTGGAGAAAAAAATGGAGCCCTGACAAAAGAGTAATGCATATCAGAAGGGAAGAAGCAAAAGAAGAATCTGTCACACAATCTTTCTTTCTTTATAACAAACATATTTTTAAAAAGTGATAGAATTGGACTCAGAAATGGCAGATTACTTTGGTTACTGTTACGTTCATATAGAAGACTGTTACTTGGTGGAAAAGTAGGTACATGTCTTCTGCTGGTGTTGCTTTGGAGCCATTAATAAGGGCTCAGTCCTTCTGCGATTCCCAAAACTGATACAGGTAGTCCTAGACTTACAATCACTCATTTATGACCACTCAAAATTACAATGGCACTGAAAACAGTGATTTATAATCCATTCTCATGCTTACAACTGATGTAGCATCCCAGTAGAGACACAATCAAACTTTGGGTGCATGGCAGCCAACATATCACACTTGCAGTAACCCAGAATCATGCAAGAGTTGCAGCATCTCGGGATCCTGTGATTCCCCCACCTGCACCCTTTCCTCTAACAAACAACGTGAGTGGCGGAAGTCCAATTTGCTTAACATGCTTAACAATCACATGATTCACTTAAAAACTACAGCGATTTGCTTAACTGTGTCAAAAAGTTTTAAAATTGGGTGTGACTCATTTAACAATTGCCTTGCTTAACAAGGAAAATTCTGGTCTCAATTTGTGGTCATAAGTTGAGGGTTACTTATATTGTAGGGAGCAGACATACTTGAAAGCGTCAAACCCAATCTCTGACAGCAGTATTTCTTTCCTCCAAAATAATTAGGGAAGGGAATACTGCAGCTGGAGAGTATTCTTTTTACGATAATAGACTCACCTTAGGAAGGAGTAGCAATAAACAAGCTTTGATTCCTGAGCTTAACACTAAGGTTAATGAGCTGCCTTTTTAGTAGCATATGGAAATATTCCATCTGAAGGAAATTGTTGTTTTATTCATTTTATTTATTAAATATATATGCTACCCATCTTGCTATCCAAAGCCATTTTTTTCTTTCAATAAAAATTCTATTATATGTTGGTTTCCATTTTTGTTACTTAGATACTTGATGCTAAACACAGTTTCACTGTTGAGTTTCCTTATGGCCACTGAAGCATAGACAGCATTTGCAGTTTCCAAAAGCTGCAGAGAGTGGAATGTCAAGTGTCACTGTAGTGTGTTGAACCACATTGTTTAGACCTTAGTGGAATAGTAGAGAAAAATTGGTGCCTTTAGCTTTGTGGAATTCAAAATAGGAGAATGACTTGGGAGCAACCAAGATTTTTCTGGGGCTGAAGTGAGTACCTGAATTTTTGGAAGCTAAAGAGTCCATTTTGGCCAGGAGAATTTCTGCTACCTTAACTAAAACCAATTAAACTGTACAATCTTCATGTACTCTTGAGAGCAGCAAAATTGGTATTGCAGCCAGTTTAATCTAGTGGTTAAGGCACCAGACTAGAAACCCAGGAGGCTGTCTAAGGCATGATAACTGTCCGGGTGATTTTGGGCCAGTCACTAACTCAGTTCAATTCACATCACAGAGCTATTGTGAAGAGGAAGGAATATTTGCCACCTTGAGTTATTTATCAAATAATATAGGATACAAATAAATTAGGGAATCAGTATGTAGTTCAGAGTGTGAATTGTGCATTCATAGAATATATACATATTTTAATTTATGATTATATTAGATTATTTTGAGTCTTAGCTGATGTGACTGAAAAAACTGGATAATCACCTTTGTAATCTAAATTATTGCCACTTTAATAGATTACAATATTTTTCATATTTTCTTAAATATGCTCTTTGAATATTGGTCATTCTGTGTTTATTTTTAAGAAGCTATGTCATTGGGGTAGTTGTTAATTTAGAGTTTAACAGTGCAATCATATACATATCTGCTCAGAAGTAAATCTTATTTAATTCAATAGAGTTTACTTTTAAGTAAGTGGCTATAGATCAACATGAGTTACTCATGCTGAGAAAGTAAATGTAAATGAATGCCATAAAATAGTCTCAGAATTTCATTGTCAATTCCAACCCACTGTTAAGCAGAAATATATTGAAATGTAATCATTGCATGTTTAAGTTTTGCAGGGTTGAGTCTTAAACCTTTACTCACATGCTTACAGCCATGATATCTTTACAGGTGTTATGAAGCTGAAATTGAAGAGATAGATGAAGAGAATGGTACAGCTGCAGTCACGTTCGCAGGATATGGTAATGCTGAAGTCACGCCTCTACTCAATTTGAAGCCTGTGGAAGAGGGAAGAAAAACAAAGGAAGATAATGGCAACAAGCCTATGTCCAAGTAAGTGGTGGAAATTGTTTCTATTGTTTAATGTGTGGTATCAATCTAAAAAAAGTTCTGTAATTGAAAAATTGTTGATGGGTTTTCTCATTCAGAGATTACATATAGATAAGAATGTTCTGTTGAAGACACATTTTTTTTTTAAAAAAAAATCCAAACCAATGTAGGTGCTCAGGCTATATATGTAGAAGACTCTGCTGAGTCTTGAATAATTAAGCAGGATAATTTGGGCTGAATTTATGACTGCATTAGGCAAAGAAGAATCCCCATGGATCGCCTTCACGTGAAAGGGGAAGTTTGTGAATTATTTGTTCGTAGAACTGCAAAAAGGGCTGTATTGGTTCCATGTCTTTGTAATATATAAGGAAGGGAAAGAGAGAGAGTGAAGTGGAAATGATAGGAATCCATTGGCTTTGTCAAGAATATGGTTATGAATTGGGAAGAAAAAAGCCTTATTGTCACCACCATTACTGCCACTGCCTTCCTTTGGTAAAGATTTCTTTTTTATCAAATACCCTAACATAAATAGAAGTTGACAAAATTTAATCATATAGCTGCTATTATTATAATCATTTTTCTAAAATAAAATAAATCAGAATTTAAGGAACCTACTTATAATAACTTTTCTACCTGTTTCTCTAAAATTTGTTAGTTTTCATTTTTTCAGTGAATATATGTAACTGAACAAATCACATGCCATTCTGTAGAGATGTAAAGAAGTTTCAGCCATTCGTAATTTTTTTTCTGTTAATCAGGGAATGGTATACATTTTGCATTAAATCTTTGCTAAATCCAAACAGGCATCTTCTGCTTTGGTCTGAGTTAAGCAGGGTCTTTTATGAATGTCCATTCAGCCTTGAGTTACTTATTGTATTCATTTCACATGTCTAGTAATTACCATAGATCTGACGAAAAAAAATGGACTTTGGTTTTAGGACAAAAGCAGACAGTCTCATTCCTTCTGAGGTTTTTGGCTGCCATTCTATAGGTTTTCATTGTATTTATGACAAAATCTATACCTACCTCATTGTTTATACCAAAATACTTAAAGGTATTTTGTAGCAATAAAGACATCTGAAATTTGGAGTCCAGTTCCTCAGTTGCTGATTTCCTACTACATATTTAAGATATGAAATTTGCTACCTAACTGAAAGTCCATTGGTCTATTGAAAATGACTTCATTAATCCTAGTGCTGAACTGGTACTGTGACTATGCAGCACCACGGGATTATGTTGACTGTTTTAAGTCAGCCTTCCGTAATCTGATTCTGCCTGAGGATAATGGAATTTATTCCAGGTTTGGAAAGGTTGAAGTATAACATATTAAACTGTTATCTGTAATACTTGTGTTTGCTCTATGACTGAATTTTTTTAATATGAATTTGATGAATAAAATTAATTCTGTAATGCTCGATCAACATTAAGTATTTTCTATACAAAATTTGTGAAAACTTTTATCTTGGAACAACTTTTGAGTTAATTCTAGAGTTCCGTTCGCAAGAAGCAAGCTAGCTAGTTTCAGCTGACTTCTAAAAGAGCTTTGTTCGTAGTGTATGAAAGTGGGATTGCTGTGCTTTATTGAAACTTGCAGTGCACAGATTGCTTTACAGAAGGAATGACAGCACTCAGCAGCTGGAGAATGAAATAGGCGAGGACAGCTGAAGCCCATTGTACTGAGAGTTTATCTTTACATTCACCTAGTACAAGGTGAGACTCTCTTAATCAGTGTATCCTTGCTTTTTGTCTACATGTTCTGAGAATAAAAGTGAATTTATAACAAATTAGTCTAGGTAACTAGGTTATGAACTACACAAGTAACCTTCAGTGACATTTTACTTTCTAGAAAAGAAATGATTGCTCAACAGCGAGAATATAAAAAGAAGAAAGCTTTGAAAAAGGCCCAGCGTATCAAAGAACTAGAGCAGGAACGAGAAGATCAGAAAGTCAAATGGCAGCAGTTCAACAATAGAGCATATTCAAAAAATAAAAAAGGCCAGGTGCGTATGACATGCATATTAGTGTATTGGAGCTATTGAGATATGACAACTAGTTTGCTGGGATGGTTAAGCCACTAGGCTGGAAACCAGGAGACCGTGACTCCTAGTGCTCAGGCACAAAGGGCCAACTAGATGACTTTGGGCCAGCCATTCTGTCTCATCCTTATAAGAAAGGAATGGCAAACCATTTCCTGAAAATCTTTCCAGAAAAAATATGAGGGATTTCATAATAGTATTTTTCACCTTTTTAACAGTTTGCAATTTTACAAGATAAACTAATAGAAAAGTTAAGCATGCACGGTATAAAGCTTTAGGGCAATATTTTGAATTCTAGTAGTTCTAGACTAAAATAGGTATATTGATCATCCCAGAGTCATTTGGTACTCAGAATAGCTCTATAGTTTGAATTTGAACCTTGTTATTTGAGTACAGAGTATTTCCAAAATAAAGCAATCTGTTCTCAGAACATTTTGAATTTGAAATGTTTTGCACAAGCTAGTTTGTACAACAAGCTTTTATGCTGCTGTTGTAAATCTTAATGATGTTTTGTGTATCTCAGATTGTTCAGTTTTGTATGGCCCAGTGAAGTATAATTTAATCAATCTCTTTGTATAGAAATAAGCCAAATAGATAAAATTTATATGATTCAGAATGTTTAATCGCTGATAAACTGCATTATTGATATAGTAAATTATTATTTGTTGCATTTTCAAAGTAATTAAAATTGTTTTTTTAATTTGTTCCACAGGTAAAGCGGAGTATTTTTGCTTCTCCTGAGAGTGTTACAGGGAAGGTTGGAGTTGGGACCTGTGGAATTGCAGACAAACCTATGACACAGTACCAAGATACATCGAAGTATAATGTTAGACATTTGATGCCCCAGTAATTAAGGGGGAAATTGTCATATTTGCAGGGCTTTACATTTATCTTTTTATTGTTATATTTTTCTAACAGTAAACAATTGGTGCGTAATGAAAATGGTGTTGCCATCACTTGGCTTTTGCTGGTACAAGCCTTAATTATTACAAATATTCAGATGACCCCGTTATTGTTCTAAAATTTTGTATAGATATGCACAACTTTGAATGTTGAAGAAATGCCCTTTGCAATATTTTGAAGCCTTCAGTCTGATATAGTGTCTTTATTCAGCCACATACTGAAAATACTACCAAGCAAACAAGGATGTAATAAAATAATTATCCCATATTTTTGCTCTTTTTGATATCTAACAGTCGTATTACCTTCCTACAAGAGCATTATTAGGTGTTCTTTATTTGTTCAGAAATAATTCAATTGAGATATTTATTGGGATTTTACTCTGATTGAATATAGACTGGAATGTGCTGATAGGAAGTGTTTTTCATCTGAAAGAGCAGAAACCTAGACCTACAATCTTGGTAAAGATAACTAGACAGATTTCATGCTTAACAATGACTTTCCTCAAGATGAGGAATTGGTCCCAAATCTCACATCCTTTCATTAGTGCTGTATGATTCTATATCCATTGCTTTAGCTAGTTAAAGATAGATGGATTCAGACATGTTAGACTTAGAAAGTATCAAAATGTATCATAATGTCTCAAGTCACTCCAAACCCGGTGCAAGAACTTGGAGACTCCTCCACCCTAACTACATATGAGATCTTAATATTGAGTATGGAATAGCTTAGAACCATGCAAAACATTTTGTTATAGTTAAAAACTCATGAATGAGAGTGAGTTTTCTCTGTGGAGTGAAAAAATATTAGGAACTGGCTGATTTATGCTGTGTTTCTAAATACCAAATTTTGTAAGTCTGGAAAAAGGCAGAGAATCTTTTCAGAAAAAAACATGCTTAACACTGGCAACCTGGAAAGTGTGTTTATAGAAGTTAAAGTTAATAAGAATGTAGCTATGATCTCCATAAGTTTTTCTCAGTAATTTTCAAGGATGGACTAGCACTTTAAAACTGGGAGATATGAATTATACACTTGGAAGTAGTTATTTTCACTGAAAATGTAATGGCTTATTATGATGCAGTTATTTAACAAACCTACTGCAAAAAGTCATTTAGTGCTTACTCAGTTTTACAGTTGATCCAGCTATATTTCAGTATAGATGGTGTTCTCTTCCAATAATGCCACAATTCAACTGTATTACTTTAGCTGAACGTTCTTGATTTTATTTGGAAAACCACGTGTAAATGTTCTGGCATTCTTGTATCTTCTGGATGAAATTGCTTCCCTTCGCTGTGTATAGGGTAGCAATGGCATCTTTTAATCTTGCAAATGTGTTTGAGAGAAAAAGTTAATGTATAGCCCTGTATACAGTGTAAATAAATATTTTTGTAAAATATGGTGTTAATGAACAAGAGTGAATTTAGTTATTACTCCTACTAAATAATTCAGAAGTAATTCTTGCTCATTAATCTGAATGCCATTGCTTATGTCTGTTACATTGTAGTTCCCTTTTGTAATTTGTTTTCTGAATTAAAATCAGGTAACATCAATACTTGTTGATACACACATTAGTGAAAGTCTGCCACTTTATCAGCATTTAAATCCATAATTAGTAGATTATAATCCACCTATAGATTCTTCCCGTCAACAAAAAGGCAAAGTAATTTTTATTACTGTGTTGATCTCAGTTTTGTATGTAACTTTTATTAAAATAAAGTGTTTAAAATTTGTTTGCTATGTCCCCAAAACCTTGTTAAAATGATTTGATATAAGTTGATATACCATTACTAAAGAGTAGGGGAAAGGGGTAATCCAGATAGAAATGTGCTTGTTTTACCATTTATGAGGAAAATGTTCTTATAAAGGTATGATATATCCTGGACTTAATATGACTCTATTTTGAGCATTTGGGTACTAACTGAACAACATAGTTGCAAACTTTGTGTTACAATATTTTATGGATAAATAGCTTCTTTATTTGGGAAAAATAGTTTTTGAAATACATAAAGCTAGAATTGTGGGTAAAGAACAAATACAAACTGAATTCACTAAAGGAGCTTAGGATCTGAATCTGTAGTTAACGCTTATGTCCAGATAGGTCTTTGAACTATTGCTTCTTTACAGTGAGGGAAAAAAGTATTTAATCCCCTGCTGATTTGGTATGTTTGCCCACTGACAAAAGAAATGATCAGTTTATGATTTTAATGGTAGGTTTATTTTAACAGTGAGAGACAGAATAACAAAAAAAAAAATATCCAGAAAAACTCATTTCAAAAAAGTTATAAATTGATTTGCATTTTAATGAGTGAAATAAGTATTTGACCCCTTCACAAAACATGACTTCGTACTCGGTGGCAAAACCCTTGTTGGCAATCACAGAGGTCAGACGTTTCTTGTAGTTGGCCACCAGATTTGCACATATCTTAGGAGGAATTTTGTCTTACTCTTTGCAGATCCTCTTCAAGTCATTAAGGTTTCAAGGCTGATGTTTGGCAGCTCGAACCTTCAGCTCCTTCCACAGATTTTCTATGGGATTAAGGTCTAGAGACTGTCTAGGCCATTATAGGACCTTAATGTGCTTTTTGAGCCATTCCTTTGTTGCCTTGGCCGTGTGTTTTGGGTCATTGACATGCTGGAATACCCATCCACGATCCATTTTCAATGCCCTGGCTGAGGGAAGGAGGTTCTCACCCAAGATTTAATGGTACATGACCCTGTCCATCGTCCCTTTGATGTGGTGAAGTTGTCCTGTTCCCTTAGCAAAAAAACACCCGCAAAGCATAATGTCTCCACCTCCATGTTTGACGGTGGGGATGGTGTTCTTGGGGTCATAGGCAGCATTCCTCTTCCTCCAAACACGGCGAGTTGAGTTGATGCCAAAGAGCTCGATTTTGGTCTCATCTGACTACAACACTTTCACCCAGTTCTCTGAATCTTTCAGATGTTCATTGGCAAACTTCAGTCCTTCATAGTATTGTTTATTATCAACTGTTTTCTTGATGACTATGGTCCCAGCTGCCTTGAGATCATTGACAAGATCCTCCCATGTAGTTCTGGGCTAATTCCTCACCATTCTCATGATCATTGAAACTCCCCGAGGTGAGATCTTTCACAGAACCCCAGACTGAGGGAGATTGACAGTTATTTTGTGTTTCTTCCATTTGCGAATAATCGCACCAACTGTTGTCACTTTCTCACCAAGCTGCTTGGCAATAGTCTTGTAGCCCATTCCAGCCTTGTGTAGGTCTACAATCTTGTCCCTGACATCCTTGTCAGCTCTTTGGTCTTGGCCATAGTGGAGAGTTTGGAATCTGATTGATTGCTTCTGTGGACAGGTGTCTTTTATACGGGTAACAAGCTGAAATTAGGAGCACTCCCTTTAAAAGAGTGCTCCTAATCTAAGCTTGTTACCTGTATAAAAGATACCTGGGATCCAGAAACCTTGCTGATTGATAGGGGATCAAATACTTATTTCACTCATTAAAATGCAAGTCAATTTATAACTTTTTTGAAATGCGTTTTTCTGTATTTTTTTGTTATTCTGTCTCTCACTGTTAAACCTACCATTAACATCATAGACTGATCATTTCTTTGTCAGTGGGCAAACATACAAAATCAGGGGATCAAATAATTTTTCTCCTCACTGTATAAAATTGTTACATCTTGTAAACCATTTAAAAAACAACTTGTGATTCATCATGAGAATACTGGAAAAAAAACTTGTAATTAATCTATTTTATAGGGGTTGAGCATGCAGCCCAACATGGCCAGGAGTGTCCAGCATAGATGCTGCTGCACCCATGTGAAATGCTGGGTTGTAATTCTCAAAGCATGTGAGTGTTTGGGGTTAAGATGTTGATTGTGTTTTGGGAACTTCTGTTAATATAAGTGATACCAGAAAGTAGAAAAATAACAAACTTACTTGAAATAAAATGTCATAAAATTTATTTATATATTTAAACAAGTTAAAATAGATGGCCACAAACAAAAGAATTATGTTTACAATGATGAAAATGCAACAATGTTGTCAGCACCATCCCTGCACCATTACAGATAAGAGAGATGCAATCAGCATTTCGGTATTGTTTTATACTGGTCAATCTGCGTATTAGAGATTTATTGGGATGTTTTGTAGCTTTCAAATCCTCAAAAAGTACCAGTTGGCTACAGAATCAAAATATAACTGCCATAGTTCAGGCGAATTCAAAGGAATTGAAAAGGTGACAGAAGACACCTTAAAAGTGAGCTTGCACTGAAGTTCATATGTAGTCAAAATGTACAGTATTCATTCAGGATACATTTGTTTAGGATTGGAATTGCATTCTTAGACTAGTGCAATATCATAGTACTATGTAGAATCATAGCACCATGTGATTTCCCCTTTTAAAGATTGCAAAAGAATTCCATAATTTATTAAAAATGGGAAAAAAAAATCCTGATTTTTTTTCTCTCCCGATAAATATCTGAGTAACATTATAGTGGCACAACCCTAATTTTTGCATTAGATACTGGCTAACATGATAGAAGATAAAATGAGTGCATTAGATTTAAGATCCTGAATTGTATTTACTTTCCGTCATTCAGAGCCGCACACTTAAATGCTAGTAAGATTACATTGCAATTTCATTAGCTTGTTTCTTTTAAGTAGCAAAACAGTAAAAGCTTTTTTTTTTTTTTGGCTAGGAATCAAGAAAATATGTTGGGGTTTTTCAACTAAGATATCAAACTAGAATTATATCCTTTGCTATGAGTAGATTTGAACATCACAAGCAGCGTTTACATACTTCAGTTTAGTAAGAATAATCTTTACAAATCCAAGATCTACATGGTGTGGTTGAGGAAAAGAATACATGGAAAGTAATTTCTAGCAATTGTGATTTTAAAAAGCAATTTAATGCAAGTAACATGTCACCCAGTAAGTGCAGTATTCTGCACCAACTAATTTCAATAAAAGCACTGTCAGCACTGCCAGAGTAGTTTTGTCTGTAAAAATAACTATCTTGCTATTTATTTGAATTACATATTTACTGTAATAGGT